AGCTACAAGCCGATACCCGGGTCATCCTGCGGGTGTCTCGCGTTGTGGAGCTACACCGCGGAGCAGAAGCTACGGGAGGGCCTACCGCGCCAGGCGACGGCGCCCTGAAACAGTTTCGGGCAGGAATAGCCAATCTGGGGAAATCTAGCAACGTGCGTAGCTCCTCGCTGCTGCAGCCGATCGCAGTGACACGCATATGCACGCGAAGCTGCTGAAGAGAGCTCCAATTTGCGCCGCTTTTTGAAAGAGCCCGTCCCCTGCTTACCGAGTCNCGGAGCAGAAGCTACGGGAGGGCCTACCGCGCCAGACGACGGCGCCCTGAAACAGTTTCGGGCAGGAATAGCCAATCTGGGGAAATCTAGCAACGTGCGTAGCTCCTCGCTGCTGCAGCCGATCGCAGTGACACGCATATGCACGCGAAGCTGCTGAAGAGAGCTCCAATTTGCGCCGCTTTTTGAAAGAGCCCGTCCCCTGCTTACCGAGTCATGACGGGAGGCGTCTGGACCCGAATTTCGAATTTTTTTGGTTCTCGCTCTCAATCGTGCGAAAACCCTGTTGTATGCGTGCATCACTAAACCGGTGAGGTCAATTGGGACTACAAGTTGATCACTAAAAGTGCTTCGTTTTCGTAGGTGTCCTGGCAGATACGACTTAAACAGTAATCCGTCTTGTATGGAATAGTACGACATTGATGTTGCCGTTTCGTTGTCTGGTAGCGGTGCTTTGGCGTCTAAAATGTATTGGACATATTCGCCGTATTCTTCGGCTTGTTTCTCGCGCAATTTCTCATGCTTTACAGATTCAAATACTTCCGTGGCGCTGACGAAATTTGAATTGACTGTGAATAATTCCCTATCACTAAGGACTGGTTGCACATCATCCAATTTGTCAGTCGAGACTTGGTATGGTCTGTTTGGCATGTGTTGTTGCAGCTTTGGATCGTCCGGTACATTTCGGCAAATCGGTGCAAGGTTCGGCGCAGTTCGTTCTTGTTCATTATCGAACACGAGAAGCCGCATAACGTATCCGGCACTACATGCAACTTTCCCGGTTTGTGTTTTACCGTGAAATCGAAGGATTGCAGTGCTATTGCTCATCTAGTGAGCATATTTGACGTGTCTTGCATCGTATGGAGATATCGCAATGCCGCATGATCAGTTACGCACGTAAAATGTCTACCCCATAAATAAGGACGCCAGTGTTGAATTGCTAGAACAACAGCATAGCATTCTTTCATGGTGGCAGAGTAGTGTTGTTGGCTTTTGTTGAATCGCTGGCTAAAGTATGCTACGATATTCACGTCATCGCCATTCTGTTGTGCCAGGAATGCTCCTGCTCCCACTTCAGATGCGTCTACGTGGATAACAAACTCTTTAGAAAAGTCCGGAAAATGCAAAACAGGAGCGTTGGTGAGTAATCGTTTCACTTCGGCAAATGCTTCATCATGTTTCGGACACCAGCGTTTCGCTACCGACTTCACTGCGTCTTTCTTCGTGAGGTCGACCAATGGTGCGATGACGGCGGCTAAGTCTGGGATAAATTTCCTGACATAGTTGACCGTTCCTAGGACTGATCGCAAACTTTTGATGTTTGTTGGCGTTGGCAACTCTAGTATCGATTTTATCCGATCTACACCTAAACGTATGCCATCTGCGGAAAGAATATGCCCCAAATACTTCACTTCATTTGGCCCAAATTGTACCTTCTACGACGGTTTTAACGTAAGACCTGCGGCTTGTAGCGCTTGAAAGGTATTTTCCAAAAGAGAGATATGACCCTCCCATGTAGATGAACAACAAATGAGATCGTCCATGTACACGAGAAGACCGGATTTTGGACCAAAATGTGCGAAAGTCAATGCCATCGTACGTTGAAACAGAAAAGGCGCATTGGCGATGCCAAAGGGCAGTCGTTTAAAACCCATTTTCCGTCCCTAGTAACGAATGCAGTCTTGTCTTGTTCTGCTTTGGCAATTGGTATTTGGTGGTGTGCACTTTGTACATCGCAGACTGTGATCTGATGTATTTAGCACCTGCTACTGTGTCAATATGACTTGCAATTGTCGGAAGGCAAAAATAAATATATAAATATGACTTGCCATCTCAGGCATTGGCCACGATTTACGAATTAAATTCTTGTTTATCGTCGCTCTGTAATCTACACAGAATCGGGGGCTGCCGTCAGCTTTTGCTACCAACGTTACTGCTGACC